CAACTCCCAGAATTCCCCAGCCAGCGAATGCTGGCTGGGGAATTCTGGGAGTTGAAGTCCAGACATCTTCAAGTTGCCAAGGTTGAAAAACACTGATCTATGCTATGTTAGAATCCCATCTAATTGACCAGGTAAAAGGTAAAGATGCCTTTGACTCAAACTCAACTCTGCACCCAAGTTTTCTCGGTGTTTCAGAAATCATTTGCCATTGCTTTTTCCCAGAATGGTTTTTCAACTTCGCCCTCTAGCCAAAGCTCTGGAATCCCCAGGTGTTTTGTTGCCCAACTATTAATAAGCCCAAGCTTTTTAACTTTCAGGATTGACTCGGTACTACCTAACAGGATTTGAAAAAGCTGCAGGTGAACAGATCAATAGTACAACTTTCATGTGGAAACATCCCATGGACATGATGCTATTACCAGATCTCTGGTTCTCAAAAATCTTTCCCCTCCTCTGCTATCGGTTTTTCCCCCAGATCTGCTGCTTGTTAGTTTAACCAGATCAGCCCTCATTATAGTGGTGGTAGTAGAAGAAACCAGCCAAGATTATAGGAAGCTTACTTCCTGTTACTCAAGATACTGATTATAAGCGTTATGTGACTAGAGCTCAAAGCATTGTTAGAGACCCCATATACCCGTCTGACAGTCTGTTTCTGTTGCTCCCCTCTGAGAGGAGGTTTCTAAGTATTTCTACCAGATTCTGTAACAGCTTTGTTTCCTATGCAATCTGGTAAACTCGTAAGATTTGTTTTTCTCACCATGTACAAGTATACATCTGAACTAGACTGTTGTTTCTGTCTCATATATGTGGGGTATATGCATATTTACCATATTTTTCGGAGTATGATGCACCTTCTCCGCCTAAGAGGGTGAAAATTTGGGTGTCGTATAAACTGAATGTAGCCCCGCCCACTCACGGCCCCCCACCCTTTGGCCTCTGCTTCCCAGCAATTTACCTCCTTGCAGCAAATGGGAAACTGGGGCTTGTGGAAGCAGCAATAGGTTATGGCAATCCCTGCAGCCTGAAACAGCTGATCACCAGGAGGTGCTGAAACTGAAATAGGCTGTTTGCTGCAAGGAGGCAAATTGCTGGGAGGCAGAGGCAGATTTTTTTTTCTTGTGCTAATCAGGCTAAACTGAAACAGGCTGTTTGNAAATGTAACCATTGCTGAATCTTCGGTGGGTAACATCTGAATATCAGACACCCGTCCTCCTCCATGTTTTGGACTTTCAAAATAGAGTGTTAGGAATTCACTGGATGTTGCAGCTGGGATGTTCTCCACTCTGATTACATGAGTTAATTAAAGAAGTCTGGCTGTAAGTCTATACTGCTGGAATCTGCAGTTCGTGGAACACTGCCTAAGAAAATTTGCAGCTGCTAAAAATAGAAATCAGATACTCTTAAATATGTGCCTCCCATTTCTGTGCACGTATGTGAACACAAAGTGTTTAAAGTTTCAATTACAAGTACCGTATTTTTTGGAGTATAAGACGCACCAAGGTTTTGAAGAGAGGGAAAAAAAAGTTTTTGCACTTTGCAAATCTCCCCAAAACGGCCTGTTTTCCGTGAAAACGGACCCGTTTCCCCCCCCCAAGAAAGGCATGAATAGCCTTTAGGGAGCTTGCAGAGTGCTCCTGGGGAGAGTGGGGGAGGGAGCCAAAAACGAGCAAAAAAATTGCCTGTTTTTTGTTTTTAAAAGGGCATGGATAGCCTTTAGGAAGCCTATAGAGTGCTCCTGGGGGCTGGGGGAAGGACAAAATTGAGCAGCCCCCAGGAGCTCTCTAAAAGCTTCCTAGAGGCTATTCCCGGCCATTTTGGTGAAGGGGGTGGGGTTTCAGAAGGCAAAGAAATGCTGTATTCAGTGTATTAAACGAACCCAGATTTTCAGCCTCTTTTTTGAGGAAGAAAGGTGCGTCTTATACTCCGAAAAATACAGTACTCCTCAACTTTCAGCTATTTTAATATAGGAATCAGAATCCTGATCAATACTCTCATAGATTCGTGGGGTTCAAACTCTTGTGACCCACAAGTAACTATGGGTGACAAGGACTGCAGTCCAATGTATCAGAAGCACACTTGAGTAGGAAAGTACACCATAGGATCCTCCAAATATTAAACATCTTGAACAATGAGCTTAGATATCTTACCAGTGCTTTGCTGAAAGGTTACTACTGCAGCCTTCTTCTCATTTATCTGTTCAATATGGAAGGTACTATCTCCTGAAAGAGCACTGATGTTATCTACCAATAGCGTTAATGTGTCCAGGTGAATATTTTCTTCAACATTTTCAAGAACTACTTGTGAAAATGTTTGAGGATGGTCAAGAATATCCTTCTCAGAATGTGGAGCTTCCACAGCTGACCCATTTGTTAGGGTAACATTCTTTGTTTGGCAGTCTTGTTTCACTTCTAATTTCAAAAAGGAAAAAATAAACAGAAGATTCAGCCACCCTGGGGTGGATTATATTTTTAAGTTACTTAAATCTATTAGAGAGCCGATTGAGCTTGTAAGTTCCAGCTATCTCTTAGGCATAAAAGCTGATTGGGTGACTTTAGACTTTTCCAAGCCCAATCCACCACACAGAATTGCTGTTCTAGGGAAAAAAAGGGGGGCAGGAGAATTAGGTATGTTTGCAATCCTGAATTATATCTAAAAAGGCAGAATTACAATTAATAATATCACACTACTTTAAAATTGTATTCACTTTACTGAAGTTACCTTTATTTTTTATTTTAAAATGCCAGGGTATTCTTTTTCAAACATCCCACCTTAATTCTCCTGATTTCTCTTTAAGACAATTCAGATATAGTACTGATGTAGGAGACATGAACTCAATTCTACCCATGTTTACTGGCAACTAAAAAGCTATATCTATAGCGATCCACGGTGATTCTCCAAAGTAAATGCTGAATTTGTTGAATCTCCTTTAAAGCAACCGAAGCCAGTGGCTGCACACACCTTTGGAGCTAGAAAATGTCTATAGGTTAACTATACATTGTTTGGAAAAGGACCTTCCTTTTCTCTTACTATCGTAGTATTATGAATCTTCAATCTTACTTTTCTTGCTTTCTTCTTTATGCCAACAAGCTCCAAACAACGAAACTAAGAATTTGAACCTCATTTGCTCTTTTCTATATTTTTCAAACACCAGAACATTGTAAAACACCTGCCCTGGTAGATCATCTGCTCCTTATACAGTCATGGAGCTGGCCTGTAAATACCAAGAACTGATGTAAATATCATGATGTAAATATCATCAGCAACTGCTCCCATTTCCAAAATTCCCCTTGGTAAAGGCCAAAGTAAAATTGACTTAATGTTTAAAACTTGGATTTACCCATCTCACTTGCTTGGCCTTCTTCTCCCAGAGCCTAAAAATAAAAAAAGGGAGGGGAACATTAGCATACCAATGCACTGCCTGGAAGGTCAGTTGATCTCTTTTTCAAGGTATGAAATCTATGAGGTTAATGTTACCTTTTTAGAAATTATTTCCTTCTTAGGTGCATTATCGTTAGCTGGGTCTGTTGTTTCATACAGGGAGACCTCCAGCTTTAGTGTTCCTTTTCCTGCCAAGTCAAGCTCATGGATCTTCTGGGAGAGAACTCTTTGCCTCACTGTGTCACAAAAATAAATACATTACAGGGATCTTTAGAACATTTCTACTTCCAAAAACAAAGAGGCAGCAAATGCAACCTTTGTGTCATCATGCTTAATTTAGATTAGTTCAGCAATCCTTTAACTCAGTGTTTTTCAACCACTGTGCCGCGGCACACTAGTGTGCCGTGACATAGTGTAAGGTGTGCCGTGGGAAAAACACTTTATATATAGTCAATATAGGCACAGAATTAAATTTTTTTAACATTTTCTAATGGTGGTGTGCCTCGTGATTTTTTTCATGAAAAAAGTGTGCCTTTGCACAAAAAAGGTTGAAAAACACTGCTTTAACTCCCTAGTTTTCCTACATCAGTACAAGAGGTGCATTTTTAATTTAAGGTTAGCATTTTGTTTAATTGCTTTAAACAATTTTCCAAATGATAAATAAAGTTAAATATTAGGCTTGATGAGGATGGTACTTCCAGATCTGGAGTTAAAAACTGTTTATTGAATGCCAAAGGGTAGTCATCTTTATCAGCGTCCCAAAATTTGCAGGCCTGAAGATAACATTTTCAAACTGCTTTGGAGATTGGAAGAGTGGAAGGGATAGACAAGTGGAAAGTGAAGAGGGGAAATAGTGACCTTTTTCCACTAAAAATTTAATTTGCAGTAGGAAGAACAACCGTATTTATCTCAGCAAAACCAATAATGTGATCCTGAAAACTAGCATTCCAGCCCCCTCTTCCTTTTCACAGCGTTATTTAAAGTGTTTGTCGCTCCTACAGCAAACAAGCAAAGAAGAGAGGTAAAAATTCCCAATGAAGCCCACCGAAGAAGAATAAGACACTTTCTTTACCTTCCTCCTGGGCAAAGCAAACCAAGATCTGCCCCCCTTGCTTCTGGATTTCGCATTCTCCACCTCCCGACTTTTTCCGGCTTTGGAAGTAGCGGAGAATTTTGTTTCTCACAATTTTGGGGAGATCGGGGCTCCCCCAGGCTCCCTGCACCAGCAAAGGAAAGGGGCACATCGTTCCTTCCTCCGCCATCGTGGGGTAGCGGCAAAACTCTTCGAGTTAGACTGACCGTGTACCATTTTCACTTTCGTTTTCCCACTATAAACTCGATTCCCAGATTATATTTTATTTTTTATCACCTGTTCTTCGTGATAAACGGAAGTGACAAGGAGGCAGCTGGGTATTTGGCTCCCCCGCCGCCGCCCCCACCGCTGGATCGTATTTCTTTCCAGTTAGTTCGAGCACGGTCACCGCCCCCTTTCTCCTTCCGAAAAAGGTTTTGCAAGCCTGTGGTAATTCCCCTGCCTTTAACATTTAGGGAGGTGTGAAAAAAGGCATTTTGTTTTTTTTAAAAAAAACTGGCGTAGGATTAAAAGAAAACTGCTAGGATTTATCATTCATTTCTCCATCCGCCGCTTCCTTCCAATCCTTCTCCTCTTTCCTTTCCTTTTCTTTGTCTCGCTCATAAACTGTTTGGCTGAATTTTTCCGAGTTTTGTTCTCCACTCCATCCCGCAAGGAAGCAGCGGGAGAAATCGTTCCGTTTGGCACCAATGGTCAGGTCTTTTGAGGTTTCCACGTATACAGACCCTTGCCCAAAGTCCTCTTCGGTTGACTTCTGAAGTGCTTGAACGTTTTAGGGCTTGGCTCTCCTGCCTGATCTTTCCCAAGCAGGAGAATCTGCTTATTCACGCATCAACCGTTTCATCGGTTGGAGGAGACCTCCATCAATGTTGGACTGGTCCAGCGTTGTCTTCTGGTTTTCCATGTAGATGGCTGCTTTTGAACAAATGTTTAAGGTCTTAACAGTCTGGAGTCTGTGGTGCTCTCTGAGCTTGGTTGTTTGCTTTCAGAGGTTTCCTTACCTAACTAGGTAAGACCATCAGTGCTAGTGAGTATGGTGTGAGATTGCAATTTTTAAAAATGATACAGTTCCTCTTCTCCCTTTGATTAGAAATAGAAGCTGGCAGAAACTAGGTCAGTTTTAACCCATCTCTCAAAACTCTCAAATTGGTGAATTCTGGGTGTTAACGCTGGCAGGCAGCCATCACAGTGCCCAGAGTTTTCTGCTGTCTTCTGTTGCTTCCTCAAACCAACTCCATTTCCCAATCCATGTCTCTGGCATTTCCTGCTCATCTCCCATCCAAGTCTTGGCTTTGTTTTTGAAGATCGGTCAAAGTCACTGAATTTGGGACAGCAAATTAGGCATAATAATTCTGCATGGATCTGACACTATATTTAAGCCAAATGATGGGGCTACAGCAGTTTGTGAGAGATGATGATGGTGTTCCAGGCTTATTTCTGCTTCGTCTAAAGCAACTGCTGTCCAAATTAAAATTAATTGCCAGCATGATTAGCCTGTTTAAAGGAGGTGGCAGTTTCATCATTACTCCAAGTAAATCTGATTGTGATGCAATGTAATTTTTCTCCTTCTGCAAAAGTGACTTATGTATTGTAAATATTTCAACACATGAAAATAGGCTTTTAAGCTCATCTGAATTTTTATCAAACCATTTATGCCACTCTGGGTTAAAAATGGTAAAAGATTCCCAGCAGATTTTAATCCTCTGCTGTTGTGGACTTTAGGGGGCAGTGTTCATCTCTGCCAGTGCTGTCTGAAGACATTTGGCCAACGTGAGTAATGGAGCACTGTTATCTTCCCACCAAAGTGGTACCTATTTATCTACCTGCATTTGCATATTTTTGAACTGCTAGGTTGGCAGGAGCAGGGACAAGAATGGGACCTCACCCTGTCATGCCAAGCTCAGGTCTTGAACTTGGGCTGTTGGCTTTCCAGCTGACAAGTCCAGCATCTTAAACCACTGATCCATTACATCATCTATGCCAGTGTTTTTCAACCTTGGCAACTTGAAGATGTCTGGACTTCAACTCCCAGAATTCCCCAGCCAGCGAATGCTGGCTGGGGAATTCTGGGAG